GGGGGGGGGGGGTCATACCCATTGTTTATACAACATTGAGTCCCCTTGGCCCAAGGATGCTCCAGACTAAATAAGGATAAAATCCCTTAATCCCGATGTTCGAAGAAGGATTTTAAAGGTTTTACCTCTATTTCTCCTATTGGGCCCCGCCCTTCTGCCCCCTGGGAGGCCACACCCACTGCTTATACAAAATTGAGGTACCCTTGGCCCAGGGATGCTCCAGACTAAATTAGGATAAAATCCCTTAATCCCTATGGTAGAAGAAGGATTTTAAAGGTGTTACTTCTAATTCCCCTATTGGGCCCGCCTCTCTGCTTCCAGGGGGGCTATAGACCCACCGTTTATACAAAATTGGTTCCCCTTCACCCAAGGATGCTTCATACCAAATTTGGACAGAAGAAGAAGGTTTTTGAAAAATTTGCGAAGTTTTCCCTATTGGGCCCCGCCAATCTGCCCCCAAGGGGGTGGGGGGTGGGGAGTGTCACACTCACTGTTTACACAAAATTGAGTCCCTTTTGGCCAAGATCCTCCAGACCAAATTAGGAAGAAATCCCTTCATCCCTATGGTAGAAGAAGGATTTTAAAGATTTACCCCTATTTCCCCTATTGGGCCTCGTCCTTCTGCCCCCTTTGAGATCACACCCACTGCTTATGCAAAATTGAGTCCCCTTGGCCATAGAATCCCCTAGACCAAATTAGGATAAAATCCCTTAATCCCTACAGAGGGATTTTAAAGAATTTGCTATATTTCCCCTATTGGGCCCTCCCCTCAACCCCCAGGGGGGCCACACCCACCATTTATACAAAATTTGTTCCCCTTTACCCAAGGATACTCCACACAAAATATGGATCAAATCCTTTCATTCCTACAGAATGAGAAGGATTTTAAAGAATAATTTGCTATGTTTCCCCTATTGGGCCCCGCCCCTAAGGCCCCTGGGGGGCCATACCCACGGTTTATACAAAATTGGTTTCCCTCCACCCAAGGATGCTTCAGACCAAATATGGAACAAATCCTTTCATTCCTAAAGAAGAAAAAGGATTTTAAAGAATTTGCTATATTTCCCCTATTGGGCCCGCCCCTCAGCCCCCAGGGGGGCCACACCCACCATTTATACAAAATTGGTTCCCCTTCACCCAAGAATGCTTCAGACAAATATGGACCAAATCCTTTCATTCCTATTGAATGAGAAGGATTTCAAAGAATTTGCTATATTTCTCCTATTGAGCCCCGCCCCTCAGGCCTCTGAGGTGCCAGACCCACGGTTTATACAAAATTGGTTGCCCTTCACCAAAGAATGCTTCAGACCAAATATGGACCAAATCCTTTCATTCCTACAGAAGAAGAATGATTTTAAAGAATTTGCTATATTTCCCCTATTGGGCCCCGCCTCTCAGCCCCCAGGGGGGCCAGACCCACCATTTATACAAAATTTGTTCCACTTCCCCCAAGGATGCTTCTGACCAAATACGGAACAAATCCATTCATACTACACCGGGGGCATAAATAATTGATTCTTACCTTCATTTACCAATATATTTTTTTGTGACAGTGGCCAAAATAAAGTAATATTAAGCGAAATTGATATCAAAACAAGTGCTAATAAAAGAATTGAATTACATAGATTATATAGCAGGGAAAACGATGCATCAAGAAAACATTATAATAACCGAAAAGTGACATTAAGCGACGTGATATTAAGTGAAATTTACTGTAAAAAAATCTTAACAGTTTAATACATGTAACTAGTATATAAGTAAGTCATAATACATACAAATGGCCTTGAATAGCTCACCTTGATATTTTGAAGTCTATATAATATTATATACCCAGTAGTTTTGGAGGAGAGCCGTTCCCTGGAATGTTAACCACTTTATTTGTTTAACTTTTTATCCCCGTGTGCTAAACATGCTATTACAACGATTCGGTTAAAACCTGCTTAGTAGTTTGCGAAGAGATGTCTTTTAAGTCTCCTTTGTTTATATAACTTTAATTATTGTGTGTCATATATGTGTAGCAATCAGCAATTGTGACCGCTACTAGCTATCTCAGCCCCCAGAAGGGTCATGACGTCAGCCCATTTCTTTTTCATAACTGTTGATCCCTTAATTATGGACAAAGCATGCTGCAAATACAGTTTGGTTGAAATCTACTCAACACTTTGTAAGTAGAACTAGAAAATATTGAACAAATAATATAGGTTAATTTGACCCCCTCTGTAAGGCCCTTATGTAATGCTTCATTTAGTTATTTCGAGCAGTTTTTGAACAGCAAATCAAGTGTTGACAACAATGAAATTGATGACGTCTCACAATATAGATTGATAACGTTACAATAGCAAATGTTGTTATAGTCTCATAACAACACTTGCCTTCCCAATACATTAGGATTGAAAGATGAGGGGCAAATGTAAATATTAAGAGCAAGCAATGTTACATATAAACATTTAATATGTTACATTTGAGATTTTTTTTAATCAAAATGATTATTATTTCCTGAGCATGTTTGAAATTCTCCAATAAACTTCATATCTTCTTCAATGAAAAGTTGTTTATAGTCAGACTCACCCAGTACTGTTGTCATGATCACTTTAAAGTCCATCGTCTGTTTGTCTGTTGTCTGACTGTCCGTCGTCTGGCTGTTCGTTGTCTTACTGTTTTCCATCCGACTTTCACTCTGACTGTCAGTCCCTTTTGACTGAGAATCTTGTGTTGGGCTCTCCTTAATATCTAACTTTAGATCTACTGTAGCCACAGCCAGTTCTTTTGCACATGCATGTTTCGATATAACCTTTACTTCTGTGTCCCTCATACACTTCTGAACATTTGTATCACGAGTCGTTCCGCTAGAACATTTTACACTCCTTGAGGACTCAATTTTTCTGATTTTATGCTCAGCTTTACTTTTATGATGATCTATTGATGTACTGCTCTTTCTATCAGATTTTTTCATTATTTCCTTTTTCAGCAATTTCGTCTCATTTTTCTTTTTGTCTTCGTTGACAAAATCTTCCAAATCCTCCGATAACTTCCTTTTCCCGAGAGACAACCGTATAGACCTTCCGACTTTTAGAGATGATTCCCCTTTATCAGAGTTTACGTTACAACTGTTCTCTGTCCGTGATGGAGATTCCTCATTGTCAGCTGTTTCAGTTTTTATTTCACTTTCAACTTTTACAACTTCATCTCCAAGTAATTTCTTTGAAATAGATTGCTTAAGGCGTAATCTTGAAGAGCTTCTCTTTTTTTTAAAGTATTCTGGAATAGACTTTTTAGAATCATCTTTATTTTCAGTCTTTCCAAAATACTTACTCTCTACTTTAACTACTGTTACATCATTCGAATTGGAGTTATCACTGGAATGTCCTACGTTCGAAGGCATGCTTGTAGATCCCCTGGACACACCAGCAGACTGCTGTTTGAACATGGCTGCTATTATCTCAACACCTTTTGGGGGTGGAGATTTGTTCAGCTTCTGTTTCCCACATTTCTTAAGGCTTTTCCCTATCCCTTGAGGTTTCATTTTTTCTGAATACATAAAAGAAAAAGATCAAAAACACACAAATCTTGTCATAATTTTAAAGTAAAATTTGTCTAGTATAGTAATCAGATAGGAATATAACAGGTAGAAATCGGTTCTGAGGTCTTCTACAGTTTCAATCCTAACTTGACTTGTCGGTCCAGTTTCATTTCTTTGATTCTTAGGATCTTTAATAGGCCATGTTTTCTGAATAATTGTAGCTGTTATTTCCTAATTTCATATGATATTTCGCTGATTTTCAGCTATATGGGAAAAAAAATCTTCAATATTTTCTTTTTAATCTTTTCATGTTGTTCCCTGCAGTCTATGTGAAAATAATCTAGAGATCACAGGTTAAGAATTAAATTATCCCCGGACATTCTGGTCCAACACTAAGGGTAGGAAGCAGGACTCCGGCGGAATTACTTTACTGAAGAACAGAGATGGCTTCCTTCACAGTGACAAGCCGACCAAGACCAAGGCCACTATATTTAACCAACAGTTCCAGTTGGAGGGATAGTGAAGATATGCCAGACAAAGGGCCCATTCCTTTCCCTTCCATGCAAGGGATTCAGATCAGTACTGCTGGAGTACAGAAGCTGTTGGAAGGAACTTGTCTATTCAAAGCTATACCACTGGTCTGGATGGGATTCCAGCCTTCATACTCAAACAGGCAGCACCCGAGATTGCTCCATACCTTACCAGTATATTCTTCTTTTTCTTCTTCTTTAGGGTGCAGGGGCTCAATCAATAATGATGATTATGCCCTCAGGGGTCCTATATATCACAGAGGCGTGAAAAAGGGGTTATTTACAGTGATTGGTTTGGTGTTTTTTTGGTGTTTTTTTGTGCAAAGTATAGATAAAAGGTAAAAGCTGGTGTATGTTTTAGCGTGTGATGAGGGCTTCAGGGGCTGCATAGGACACGAGTGTCTTGAAGTTCTCTAGTGTTGTGCATTGTACTGCTGCTATGGTAAGGAGATTCCATTGTGTTATTGTGTGTGTGTAATAGTGTCATTATTTGTCATTATTACTTTTAATATATTTGTGGTATTTAGCTATACGCGTTTGTATGTAACGGAAATCAGCCTTCCGTGTAATTTTGTACGTCACGCATTGCGGCAAAACTTTTAGCGCGCGCGCGGAAATAGCACGCGTAAATGCGAGTAAGGTACTGAGCGGATGTCATGTAGTGTGTTGTAAACCTGTTTGTCCAGTACGTATTGTCTATGTATAGAATACCTAGTGTTGAATGTATGGTAATTTACCTGGTGTACTGGTCACTTTGAACAGAGCGGCCAGAGCGAGCACAGCGAACATCTTGTACTTATACCTATATCTTTACCTAGCCAGCATTGGAATTAAAAGAGGTAGCGGGCACTAGAGCCAAAAGCAATAAACGTAAGTACTCGTGTATAAATATAAGTCTAATTCATTATAGTAACTATTCAATAATATATTTAATTAAGGTAATATTTTTGTTAAAAGTAAAGTTAATATTTTGAAAGTCTTTGTAAATTTAGAAATCGGGCGTGGTCAATTTAGTAGACAAGTGATTTCGAAGAAGCAAGTTTTTAATATATATTGTTTCCTTTTTATAGTATTCATTGAACGAGTCAGACTGAGGACTCGGCGGACTTTGTCCGAGAAAACCCTCTTCACATTGAAGAGGTGGGTATTTTAATATATTTGTAATTATGCTGTATTTCTATATAATATATAGATTGGATGTCAGTTTGTAAAATACATATTCCACTATTGTAACTTATGTAACTGGCTACGGCCAGGTAGTGGTTTGACATGTCTTAGCTTATGTGATTGTTTAAATGTTATATGTATAGTAATATGATGTACGTAATAAATTAACTAAGAAAAGAACCCAGGAGTTGTCGTATATCCACGATAAAAGACGACTATTACATGTGGAAAGAATGAATATGTAGGTGTCCTTTGTAGCAGATATGTTTGTATGCGTGAGGGTGTGCATGTCTGGTTGGAGGGTCCACTGGTGTAAGTATATATGTTGGGTTTATAGCTATGATGTGGTGTACAATTTAAAAAAAAAAGGATCATTCTTGTGTAAAAGTGCCATGTGTGTAGTGTTAGCCATTGTGGTTTGGGGATCATGTCTGTTACTGAGCTAATGTTGTGGTATTTGTTTACGTAGCGTGCTACTCTTCGTTGTGTTTTTTCTATTTGTTTAATTTGGTTTGTGTTGTGTGGATCCCAAATGGAAGAGCAGTATTCAAGTTTTGGTCTGACTAGTGCTTTGTAAAATAAATGATGTGTACTTCTTTGTGTGTTGTATCACAGTGTATGTGTCTTACCTAGCTGTACTAGAAATCATATATATGGACGGAGGTCACACTTAAATGCTTCTAGGTTCAGTACCCACGAATGAAGTCCCTTAGAAATATAGGTACTTTAGTAAAAAAATACTATGTCTCTTAGAACTTGGTGTTTGTGTAAAAATTTGGTGTTAAAATACTGTGGAGATATCAATCTAACAATTTCTGTTTCAAATTTTTATATTGTGCATTTATTTTTTGGTGCAGGGTTCTGTGTGAAAAGTCCTGTGTTTACCTCTACCCCTGACTTGGAAGTTTATTTTTGACATTGGTGACGCATTCAGACGATTATCTGAAGAAAAAGGCCAGCATGTTATGTTGAAATTTTGATATTTTACTCCCAAGATGTTGGTCTTGACCAGGTTAGATGGAAAGTTGGCTATCGGATATTGGGAATTTGTTATGAAATTAAATGTTACAATGAAACATAGTAAAATCAATTGTGGTCTTGGTCCATATAGGCAGGAGGAGATGGAACGGAAGCTTTGGGTTTGTTAACAGGAAAACCGGAAGTTGATAAGAATTGGTGTGAGAAATGGCGGGAATTCAATTTGGGTTTGGGGCCTAGAGAAAAGATTGGGAGTATGGTATCTAGATAATAAGGGAAGCGAATCTTAACGAAAAATGGAAGAATAATATGTAGTAGGTATAGGGGGAGTGTGAATGGTTATGTGGGGTAGAAATGGACGAGAATTAGTGAAAATTACCGTGCTCGAAGGAGGGATGTTACGTGCATGGTCACGCATATGCGAAGTACTCTTCTAGCTATCACTAGTCAGAGGAACCGCACTAAACAGAACTTATATAAACTGCTAACTGAAGAACTGATACATTATAGCATCAAACCTTTTGTTTTTTTGTTAAAAAAATCAGCAATCGATCTTTGCTGTTGCCGCTTTTTCTTTTCCATGCTACTTTCGCTTTTATGTGAAGAACTATGTAGACAAGACGCTTTGCAAAACCGGGGTGAGGACAAAACCCGGGTGGTAGGTAAATCTTGTACCCCGTTCCCGGACCCGCACTGAAACCCCGTACCGGGAATATAAAGATATTTTAATATCTCATTAACGCGAACGTTTATATTTTTTTATGAAAATATAGAATAATTTCAAACATTATTTTCTAAATGTGACAATTACAAAAATGTTTATTTATGATCTAATAATTTAGAAATCGGCGATAATGTGTATTTCAAGGGGGTAAAACTTGTACGCCGCAGTCAACCGTGAAAATCACGGGTTTTCACATATAACTAGAAATTCAGGAAAAACTGTTCATAATTATGTAAGTTTTGTTGAAATAAACAACATATTTCACATGAAATTCTGACTTTGTTGTGATCGCCGGCGAGGATCGCGGGTGCTTTGTTTACTCCCGTACCCGTACTAAGGGGACATCACTCTGTCAAGCTGTCGTTATCAAGTAGAACTTTTACCAGGCTCTGCGACGCGGACGCAGTTCTACATAAGAGCCCATATTTTTTTAAACTATATATATATATAAGATAACTAATAGTTCACAAAATAAGAATTCATGATCATCATTATGATTGGTTATCATTAGAAAAAAAAGGCTTTCTTACAGGCAGAATACAGCAAGTTGTCGGGGAGGGAGCTACTTCATCAAAAGTCCCGGTAACATCAGGTGTACCCCAGGGCTCGGTCCTCGGCCGGAATGCACTCAGGCGTGAAGATTTTTTTGTTTATTTTTTTGTATATATTAGGCCGTATCTCCTATAATATATAATAGATTTTTATTCGGAGACCAGCCTAGGAAAGATAATTTTATACCTGTTACAATGATATAAGTTATGTTTAGCAGTAATAAAAATTAGAAGCAAAAGTGGTGGCCGGAATGAACCACTATGAAATAAAAATAACAATATTTTCAACTGTTTTCGTTCTAATAAATACTCATATCTCGAAAAGTACTGAACCGATTTTTGTTCGGAGACCTCTCTGGTCAAGGGAGTTTTGCACTTGTTAATATGATACCAACTGTTTAAAAAAATCTTACATATTAATCGCAAAAGTGGTGGTCGGCATTAATCGCGAGGTCGTTTGAAGCGAATCCGGTTAAAACGGCCGCAGTGCAAAACGGCCCTACTTAAAACGGCCCCACCCTATACAGTGGCGGATCCAGAGGGTTTTTTTGGGCTTCAGGAAACCCCCCACCCCGATAATTTTCTTTAAAAATCATGTATTTTCATCATTTTCCTCAATTTTTCCCCTCANCCCCCCAGATAGGTCTCTGGATCCGCCACTGCTATATATAGTATATACTGCATAGTACTGCAAGTACTACAAGTGCGTAATACAATTACATCTCTTGATATTATGTTAATAAAGTTACATGCGCTTTCAAGAAATAAAGATATGTACATGTACAGATAAAAACATTATAATTGTGTTCGTGTTTTCATTGATAGTTGATCCTCCTCAGTCTCAAATACCTTTGCAATAGTGTTTTCTACTTCAGTGTTTAATTCAATTCAATTATTTAGAGAAAAGAATTAATTAAAAAACTTATTGAATAGCATTTGAAATAAATAGTTACAATATTAACTAATAATAATTTAGAAATGGGAGAAGGGTCTTTGTTGTTTTAACAGAGTACCTCGGAGTACCTCGGAGAGACTCGATTAAAACAACAGTTAACGGGATTGGTCAGAGGGTGTAATAAATTGGACGAATGTATAGCAAAATCTTCACATTTGAATTTGAATGGATCTTTCAACCATGAGACCAGCATCAACGAAATGTTTAGAGTGCGACAGTGTGATCAGACCTGCACAGCATGCACTGTAGTGAGATGGCTGTTATAGATGGCAACATAGAACGTGTGGTACCGGTAAGTGATATGAAATATATATAAATGTCGATCACAGAAATACCCAATTGATACATTACCGTGCATGGTAAGATAAAATGATTTAATTATTTTGGTCATATATATATATATACGTCCAGTTATACTTATCTTATAATTTAATATACATCAATGCTCATATATAATTACGTTCCGTTATATACTGAACCAAAAAAGAAACGCACAAAGTTCCCCCTGCAGTACACCTTAGCTGTAAGGAAATAATGGAATATTTGGTCAGGTATTACATCAAGAACGATCTCCCTTCTCAACAATATACACTAAAATCAGCCAAGCGTGGCGATGTCATTGTGTGACTTTGTGAGTTTCTTTAGTCCAAATCACGCGGCGTGATCAAGCCAAGCTTGAGTTTTTCAAACATATAATCTCAACGGATACTCTAAGTTCAGCCACATTCATTTTCCACGTTGGCATTTTTATATCGCCATTGACTGAGATGCCACGCTTAACGCAAATTCAGAGGGGTAGACCAATTGCGATGTTGATGGGTGGTCATACCCAAACTGCTGTCGCACGACAGTTTGGTGTTGGCCCGTGTACAAATAACCGTCTCTGTACACGTTTCCGTGCTACTGGGTTAGTTTCTGATCGTCCCAGGAGCGGTCGTCCGCGTGTAACGACCGCACGACAACACAGGGCGATTCGATTGTCGCACTTGCGCAACAGATTCCAGACTGCTGTAGAGACTGCGTCGCATACCTTAGGTACTCATGGCAGACCCATTAGTCCTCAAACTGCCAGGAACCGCTTGCGTGCCGAGAGAATCATTGCGCAGCTGACACCACGGATGCGGCAAGTGCGTCTTGACTGGATGCGCAGACATGGCCCGAATAGGGTTGGGAAGCGTCGATGGAGGCGTGTGAGGTTCACCGACGAGTCTAGATTCTGTCTGTATCGCTCAGACAGAAGAAAAAGGGTATATCGCAGACGCGGTGAGCGTGTCGCCGACGCATGCGTTGTTGAACGCGATAGATTCGGTGGGGCTTTTGTAATGGTTTGGGGAGGCATCTGCCATGGAGTAAAATCCCCCTTAGTGGTCCTGGATCAAAACCTCAATGCCATTCGATACAGAGACCAGATCCTCCAACCACATGTCCTTCCACTTCTCAGACGTCATAACCTAATTTCCCAGCAAGACAATGCTCGACCGCATGTTGCCAGAGTCTCGTGATTTTCTCACGGCAAACAATGTCAGCCTTTGGAATGGCCCCCATATAGCCCCGACATGTCTCCCATTGAGCATCTGTGGGATGAGCTGGACAGGCGTATTAGGAAACGTCAAAGCCCCCCCAACTAACCGCGCCCAATTGATCGCAGCATTAACACAAGAATGGAACAACATTCCCTTAAGGCGAATAAATGTTCTCATGAATTCAATGCATAGGAGAATCCGTGCAGGGATTCGTGCAAAGGTGCCTACACCAGGTACTTAAGTGTCATTTCGTTTTTCGCGGGTATCCCACTTTGAGTAACTACTAATGTCACGAGTAACGTCACACAGACTTTTCTTCTACAGTATTGTAAAGAGTAGACTTGTCCCTTCATATTGATATAAAATTTTGTACAAATTTCCCAAAATGTCATAGGCTATTGATTGCATAATTTAATTGTTCATTTCTTTTTTTGTTCAGTATACTTATATTATATTCTTGTAATTAGCTCTGTTGTTTTAAACATTATATAGGCATATCACTGGCGATGTATTGTGCTACTATGAGGGGCGAGGACGGTGGACTGATAACTTGGTGTTATAGAAGAAGTTGTATAAAGATTTTAACATAGTTGACCCCTGTGACCTTGAAAATGGATGAAGGTCATTTATTTGAACAAACTTGGTAGCACTTCATTTCAGCATGTTACTGGCCAAATATCATCATCCTAGGCCTCTTGGTTATTCAGAAAAAGATGTTTAAATAAAGATTTTAACATATTTGACCCCTGTGACCTTGAAAATTGATGAAGGTCATTTATTTCAACAAACTTGGTAGCCATTCATCCAAGCATGCTTCTGGCCAAATATCATCAAGTTGTTTAAAGTAAAAAGTTGACGCCAGACGACGGACGGAAGATGGACGCCGCACCATGCCATAAGCTCACTTGGCCCTTCGGGTCAGGTGAGCTAAACAAGAGGCACAGAGGGCCTGTACCGCTCACCTGAATATGTTTAAAATAATTGGTATGAAGTAAAAATATAGCACTCCATGGTAGGTGCTGTAAGTACATATGAAATACCAGTACTTGAGATAAAACCAATTTCAAACAGAGCCCCACCCCTATATCACTAGGGGGGCAATACCCACCGCTTATACAAAATTGAATCCCCTTGGCCAAAGGATGCTCCAGACTAAATAAGGATAAAATCCCTTAATCACAATGGTCGAAGAAGGATTTTAAAATTTTACCTCTATTACTCCTATTGGACCCCGCCCTTCTGCCCCCTGGGAGCCACACCAACTGCTTATACAAAATTTAGTCCCCTTGGCCCAAGGATGCTCCAGACTAAATTAGGATAAAATCCCTTAATCCCTATGGTAGAAGAAGGATTATAAAGGTTTTACCTCCATTTCCCCTATTGGGTCCCTACCCTCAAGGCCCAGGGGGGCCACACCCACTGTTTATACAAAATTGGTTCCTCTTTACCCAAAGATGCTCCACACCAAATATCGACCAAATCCTTTTATTCCTACAGAAGAAGAAGGATTTTAAAGAATAATTTGCTATGTTTCCCCCATTGGGCCCTGCCCCTCAGGCCCCTGGGGGCCTGAGCCACAGTTTATACAAAGTTAGTTCCCCTTCACCCAAGGATGCTTCACACCAAATATGGAACAAATCCTTTCATTCTTTCAGAAGAAGCAGGATTTTAAAGCGTTTGCTAAATTTCCCCTATTTGGCCCTGCCTCTCAGTCCCCAGGGTGGCCAGACCCACCGTTTATACAAAACTGGTTCCCCTTCACCCAAGAATGCTTCAGACCAAATATGGACCAAATCCTTTCATTCCTACAGAATAAGAAGGATTTTAAATAATATGCTATATTTCCCCTATCGGGCCCCGCCCCTCAGGTCCTGGGGGGCCACACCTACTGTTTATACAAAATTATAATACGGTTACATCACTAGGTCCCTTTCACATACTGTATACCAGGAAACTGCCATTTACTGATCATAGTCCATATTCGCCCAGTATAAATTTTACATGTAATTACTGTATATTTGGGGAAGGCAAAAAAGTCAAAAGTTAAGATTAATTGAGACGAAATTTTCCTAGCATACAGTAGTTTCAGAGAAGTCCCTTCAAGCAATAAAGCCAAATAACCATTTTTTGTCCCTGCCTTGACTCAGCCCTTAAGTCCAGGTAACGGAAGCCCTGGAGGGACATTTTTAGTTACCACTTATTTTTTAGCATTTATTTGTTACTACTTATTTGTTATTAATTGTTATTAATACTAAATTATTATATTACAATAATTATTTATTATATTATTAATATTGTTATTGATATTTCTTATCAAGTATTCTATTCATATTCATCCATTTGTGTTTATGCTCCGTTGTGGAGTACCGTCGAGTATTCAATTGTCTGGAAACTATCAAAAGTCTATTTTGTTATTTCTTATATGTTATTTGTTAATTCGTATTTGTTATTACTTATTTGTTAATACTTATTTGTTATTTGTTAATTCTTATTTGTTATTACTTATTTTTTGATACTTATTTCTTAATACTTATTTGTTATTCCTTGTTTGTTATTGCTAATTAAGCAGGCAACCTCTGTTCAGTAATAATATAAAATGTTCACTTTTAATTAATCAATTAAGCATGTCGATTACTTTTAGCTTTACTAACAGTAACAATTTAATTATTTTGCATGTTCGTTAGAGAGGAAGCCGCCCATTTTGCCGGACAGCTGCCTTACCATGTTTTGTCGTAATTATCAAAAAACAAATAAATTATAACAACTAAATAATTTAAAAAACAAGCATACTGAGTATTGCTGAAGCAATACATGTCCCCTACCGGCCCCCGCAATCTATTAAGATGCGACAGTGACCTCAACCTAGATCCGAGGACTTTGAAACTTGAACTTGTCCAATATATTGAAATTTTTTACAATAATGTGAAGTTTGACTAAAATCCATGAAAGAATACTAGAGTGCTGACAAAGATTTCCTATTTATAGTAATATTGACCTTGACCTTGATCCGATGACCTTGAAACTCGAACATGACGAAGATATTTTAATTCTTTGTGACTGTGTGAAGTTTGATTAAAAACCAAGAAAGAATGAAGACGCTAGAGTGCTGACAAAGTTTTTCTATTTATAGTAATAATGACCTTGACCTTGATCCGATGACCTTGAAACTCGAACATGACGAAGATATTTTAATTCTTTGTGACTGTGTGAAGTTTGATTAAAAACCAAGAAAGAATGAAGACGCTAGAGTGCTGACAAAGTTTTTCTATTTATAGTAATAATGACCTTGACCTTGGTCCGATGACCTTGAAACTCGAACTTGTTGAAGATATTTTAATTCTTTACATGTGTGTATAGTTTGATTAAAATCCATGAAAGAATGAAGGCTCTAGAGTGCTGACAAACCTCTTCGGACAGACGGACAGACAGACAGACAGACAGACAGACGGACGGACAGACAGACGGACGGACGGACAGACGGAGGGGAAAACTATAGTCCCCCCGGTTTGACCGGTAGGGGACTAATAAGGAATAAATAATTGACAACTAAAAATGTCCCTCCAGGGCTTCCGTAGGAAGGCCTAGGGGGCAGGAAAGACTCTAAATTTGTACTTTTTTTCCTTGATGAGAATGCTTCCAATTAATTAAATATGTACCGGTAGTTGATATCAATCACACAGTTTTAGAGAAGTCCAATTTATAAATAAGCAATAGGGCCAAATTAACTGTCATCCCTTACTCTAACAACAAGTATGGAGTACCCTGTTTTGTTAAAACTTAATTCAAAATGAAGGCTAGTTTCATACAATGAACAATAAACACAACCATTGAAAAATAAAAACTTTATTAAAATATAGCAAAAAATAATTTTATATAATAATCAACAATACATCAACAAATTAATTATGATAAAATCTTATTAAAATCATCGGGAAGTATATCTTGTGATTTAATCACATAACAAATTAATCAATTCGATATTGAATTTCTGACCATGCCCCACCTCGAGGGCTGACACATGTATAACCTTTTACTTACAGAAAACAATGTAAACTTTAAACCTGATGCGTATGATTGGATTTTCTTATTTACAAAGATGTTTCTAAAATCAAAGCTTTGAAAAGATTAAGGTGAATATGTACAAACATGACATGCCCTACACCTGAATTCAGAGCAAAATATAGACAAGCAGCCGACGACAACTATAGGTCGATCTATAGAGCACTACCAAAATATAGACGAGCAGCCGACGACACCGATAGGTCGATCTATAGAACACTACCAGAATATAAACTAGCAGCCGACCACACCTATAGGTCGATCTATCGAGCCCTACCAGAATATAGATTAGCAGCCGACGACACCTATGGGGCCAACTATAGGTCGATCTATCGAGCCCTACCAGAATATAGATTAGCAGCCGACGACACCTATAGGTCGATCTATCAACTATAGGTTGATCTATAGGTTGATCTATAGGTTGATCTATGGAGCACTACCAGAATATAGACTAGCAGCCGACCACAACTATAGGTTGATCTATAGGTTGATCTATAGAGCACTACCAGAATATAGACTAGCAGCCGACGACAACTATAGGTCGATCTATAGAGCACTACCAGAATATAGACTAGCAGCCGACGACAACTATAGGTCGATCTATAGAGCACTACCAGAATATAGACTAGCAGCCGACGACAACTATAGGTCGATCTATAGAGCACTACCAGAATATAGACTAGCAGCCGACGACAACTATAGGTCGATCTATAGAGCACTACCAGAATATAGACTAGCAGCCGACGACAACTATAGGTCGATCTATAGAGCACTACCAGAATATAGACTAGCAGCCGACGACAACTATAGGTCGATCTATAGAGCACTACCAGAATATAGACTAGCAGCCGACGACAACTATAGGTCGATCTATAGAGCACTACCAGAATATAGACTAGCAGCCGACGACAACTATAGGTCGATCTATAGAGCACTACCAGAATATAGACTAGCAGCCGACGACAACTATAGGTCGATCTATAGAGCACTACCAGAATATAGACTAGCAGCCGACGACAACTATAGGTCGATCTATAGAGCACTACCAGAATATAGACTAGCAGCCGACGACAACTATAGGTCGATCTATAGAGCACTACCAGAATATAGACTAGCAGCCGACGACAACTATAGGTCGATCTATAGAGCACTACCAGAATATAGACTAGCAGCCGACGACAACTATAGGTCGATCTATAGAGCACTACCAGAATATAGACTAGCAGCCGACGACAACTATAGGTCGATCTATAGAGCACTACCAGAATATAGACTAGCAGCCGACGACAACTATAGGTCGATCTATAGAGCACTACCAGAATATAGACTAGCAGCCGACGACAACTATAGGTCGATCTATAGAGCACTACCAGAATATAGACTAGCAGCCGACGACAACTATAGGTCGATCTATAGAGCACTACCAGAATATAGACTAGCAGCCGACGACAACTATAGGTCGATCTATAGAGCACTACCAGAATATAGACTAGCAGCCGACGACAACTATAGGTCGATCTATAGAGCACTACCAGAATATAGACTAGCAGCCGACGACAACTATAGGTCGATCTATAGAGCACTACCAGAATATAGACTAGCAGCCGACGACAACTATAGGTCGATCTATAGAGCACTACCAGAATATAGACTAGCAGCCGACGACAACTATAGGTCGATCTATAGAGCACTACCAGAATATAGACTAGCAGCCGACGACAACTATAGGTCGATCTATAGAGCACTACCAGAATATAGACTAGCAGCCGACGACAACTATAGGTCGATCTATAGAGCACTACCAGAATATAGACTAGCAGCCGACGACAACTATAGGTCGATCTATAGGTCGATCTATAGAGCACTACCAGAATATAGACTAGCAGCCGACGACATCTATAGGTCCATCTATAGAGCACTACCAGAATGTAGACTAGCAGCCGACGACAACTATAGGTCGATCTATAGAGCACTACCAGAATATAGACTAGCAGCCGACGACAACTATAGGTCAATCTATAGGTCGATCTAAGCCTATTTGATCATGTACAATTATAGAGCACTACCAGAATTTAGCAAGTGTACATGTAACAAATAAAAGAAGATTATTTCACTGTTAATAAAAGCAAAAATGTGTCGGTTACAAATATGTTTACTAGACAATCTTCTTTGTAAAACCATATCACTTGGACATATACATATGGTCACTTCCAGGTTTTGACAGCTGAAATGGTCAGAAAAACATGTTTTCTCTTTATGTCACGTTCTGGTTAATATCATGTTCTGGTTAATATGATGTTTCCCTCTCACAAATGATAATTGATATTAAGCAAAATCTACTGCATTAAAGTTATTGATAAACTCCAGTTGATGTTGTATTATAACCAATCAGTACAATATATTACCTTGGTGTTTGACTTTGCAAAAAATATTAACCCACTTTCTCTTCCTACAGATTCCCTAGTCTTTTAGTTCTTGCTCTGATATATTTTAAAATTGATTCTTAACAACCACTGTTAAAGTCTGTAAGACTATCTCCAACCTCTGTAAACATATTTTGAAACTTGCATATTTTTTGCCTACATTTTTGAAAGCCAAAAGTGCAACATTCTTTTTTTACATCATACAATGATAAATACACTTAAAACATTTAATTTGCACATAAACCTAGCACTTTTCATTTATTTATAATGGTTTAAAATGATAATGACAAGTCAGTGACAGACCTAGAGAATTTTTCTGGAATTTAGAACCCTCCCCACCCCACCTTAAATAATCTTGTATTCTACCTATTTGGACACTGCACCAGATTGGTCCCTGGTTTTGGCACTGTAATTAAACACACAGTCACAATTATTCAACGACTGCTCATTCTTGACACAACATTAGCATCCATTGTTTCTGTATAGTAGTTTGTATTTACAGTCACTGTAACATATCACAGTATTTATGGAGACACATCGCCTGATCACAACTTATTGGCTCGAGGTTTCCGCGGGCGTCTATGTACATACTGGATCCCTTTCTGTTTGGATACAGCCATGACAAAGCCGTTATTATCATCAGCTTCCACTAACTGCAGAAACCCATTCACAACATCAGCCACCCTGGGAGAAAACAACAACAGTGTAACAATGGTTCGAACTTCAGTATTACAAAATAATTTGCCTCAACAGATTAGCCAGTATAAACCTGACTTTCATATATGTGTACATAAACGCAGCTCAGCTTATACAAGATTTCATTAATTTTATTTAGAGTTTTTAAAGTTTTAACAAGAAATCAAAATCAAATAACACTAGAGCCTGCCTAACTTTGTTTGGCAGTTTGTATAAACTTGTAACATTTTTATAGGGATAATATATAATTGAGCAGACATCACAGATTATTAGATGGTTACTAGTACCACTGATGTAACCAGGGCACTTCCATTAAAAATTCAGTATACTTTTTCAAGATTGAATTTCCCTTTTCAATCCTTTGTAACAACATCAAAGTTATCTTAAATTGGTAACAGTCGATACACATAAAAAAGTTTTCAGTAATTGAAGTCACTCTTGTGAACAATAACTCACTCAGAACTTTCAAAAGAGATGGATGCCCTCTCCATTTTGATATAGCTAAAATGAAATATTTTGTTTTTCTGAAATTCCATTAACACTCACGTTTGTATTCCTGCATCAGTGATTTGTTTGGCCGCCAGATCTAAACCTGTGTTATTATTTAACAGAGTCTCATGACTCTCCTCAAATAGCTCGGTGGCTGTAAATGCTGGACACAGTGTTGCATAGCTTACACCTGTCTCCAAAGTTTTAGGGTCGGCCTGAAACAAGGAAATACCAATTAACATAAATACACAGCATGATAAGTTCAACAAATATCAGTTATTGTACTATGGCAGATAATTCAATGAAGCAACACACAAAAAAAAGAGAAGTTTTATGAAGACAAACAATATCTGGATTTAGAAGTAGAAGTTTAGTCCTATAACAACACCTATAACAACACTGCCTCCTCTAGACTGAACTTGACATTTTGTGTACCTGTATATTCCTTGTACCAGTAACTATTCACTTCAATACTGTTTCCTTTCTTCTATCATACATGTACCTACCTATGTATTTATTTTTATTTTTGGTTCATCACAAAAAATGGTCAGTATTATCACAAACTGTTAATTGAAACAATTTATGTGTAATTTAATTGAATGTATTTTCAGGTACTTCTTTAATATGTAGTTACATTTCAAGGGAGATGGCTTTATATAAGATTTAAAATCTTGTAGACTGTGTACTTATTATATATGATATATGAAATAAATATTGATTAAACCAACTCTTCACTAATCAATGTTTTTATTTCTTCTTTTCTTATTACACTCTAATAACACTGAAAAGGGTTCTGTATACCACAAGGTATCCTCCTGATACTAAGGGAATAAACTTTATTACAAAATCAAGAAATCAAACTGAACATCTAATACATGTAGAGAGGTATCCACAGGGACTTGGCACAGATCCCCAACTCAATAATCCATATAATATAATTATGTGCATTATATATATAAAGGCTTTTTCTCAAGGCCTTTAGCTGCTATAAACCTCTTCAGGAGAATTTTTTTTAATATTGTATTTCGAGGTCGCAATCTACCAACGTTAATTTATATACCCACTCAATAGAGAGTTTTCGGGAGTTTCTGTTTATACTTTTTACCCATCCCAGAGCAGGTATATGCATGCATACATGTACCCATAAGTACCCCGGACGTAATTAGATACGGACATCACCATCATGGTGTGTATTGTATTACATCATAGTGTATGTCCAATACATTGTGACATTGTTTGATTGTACTTCAAAACATAATCATTCTCCTGAAGCGCTTTTAGTTTTACTAAAATGGACAATACTGCAAAAATCACGCACACATGCAAATAATAAGAAAGACCTTTACATGTACAGTAAAGGAGAAATCATTATTCACAACAGTAACAGTGATTTACTTACTGCCATACTGGTGGTGTATCCCACTACCCCATACTTAGATCCCGAGTAGACTGGGCCGTGGAACATTGGTACCAGTCCTGTAACAGTAAGGTACTAGTATGTTATAACACAGGCCTTATTAACATAATCATGTTTGGAGTAAAAGAAATCCACAGGTAAAAAAAAATCACTTTTCTTTGTACCATAAAAACAGACAATCTCAAAGTTGGTTCCATTATATAGGATTTATATGAAAGATTAGCTTTTGAGAATTTCTTCAAAATCAGGCAGAATGGTAACAATTTTCTTTCATCATTAGCTCAACCAAAGAATTATAGGCACTGCACAAATATGTATTATATATATATTTTTTGTTACTGCTAGAAATCAAAGGAAATCACCATTTGGCTTTTCTTTCCATGAGTTAAAACCATCACTTTATTGTTCTCTGTCCTATTAGTTATCAATATTACATGTCACACATCCAATATCTATCTATTACAGTACATATTGCACCCTGAGTATATGATTAAGTGTTACCTTGATACCAGGGATTGGACAAATAACTACCTACAGTGTATTACACATGCATGTTTCTAGATAATTTGATATATATAAGTGAAATTAACTAATTTGATCAGGACTTTTCTCTGTTAAAATAAAAATAGTGTTAAATTCATAATTAAAAGAGAAAAAATTAAAGAATCAATGTATCTGATAAGTTGGAAATTAGATCCCAACCAATGCAAGATTCAAAGAAGAGTTTGTGATGCCCCAAATAAACAAAGGGCAATAACTCTAACTTATCATGGGGGTCAATAGACCAGTTACCCATCCACTGTAAACCAGGAATAATGACGTTAAACGTTAAACTCAGAAATTAAAATATTGAAAGGAAATCAAATGAAAACTACCTGGTATATGGGACATGTTATGATCATAAACAAAGGGCAATAACTCTACAAATGGTTATCTGATACCATCTGCAACTTAAGAATGTATCAGTATTATTTCGTGCACACCTATCAGACTTTCTGTAAAAACGTAGTATAATTTTCATACCACTAACATGAAGAAAAAAAATGGCAGCAAATTTTAAAAGACTTTGTCTAACCTGCTGTTGATGCAATGTTGACCACAAGTCCTCCTCGTCCTCCAGCACTCTTGTCCATATAGGTTTCTGCCAGCCTGGTTCCCTCTATCATACCGATCTAAATGAAGATATTAGTACAAATATTACAGCAGATCCTTTTATTTTAATGTATTACCTATATCCCTCAGGTCCTAAATAGCCCTCCTCCTACCTTACATAACCAATTAAGGTCCTACTAGATAATTTGAGATTGTCTCTCTTACAAGGTAACCCCTAAGGTCCTACTAGATAGTTTGAGATAGTCCCTGTTACAAGGTAACCCCTAAGGTCCTACTAGATAATTTTAGATTGTCCCTCTTACAAGGTAACCCCTAAGGTCCTACTAGATAATTTTAGATAGTCCCTCTTACAAGGTAACCCCTAATGTCCTACTAGATAATTTGAGATAGTCCCTCTTACAAGGTAACCCCCAAGGTCCTACTAGATAATTTGAGATAGTCTCTCTTACAAGGTAACCCCTAAGGTCCTACTAGATAATTTCAGATAGTCCCTCTTACAAGGTAATCCCTAAGGTCCTACTAGATAATTTTACATAGTCCCTCTTACAAGGTAATCCCTAATGTCCTACCAGATTATTTTAGTGGTCCCTCTTACAAGGTAACCCCTAAGGGCCTACTAGATAATTTTAGATAGTCCCTCTTCCAAGGTAACACCCACGGTCCTACTAGATAATTTTAGATCGTCCCTCTTACAAGGTAACACCTAAGGTCCTACTAGATAATTTCAGATAGTCCCTCTTACAAGGTAACACCCAAGGATAATTTGAGATAGTCTCTCTTACAAGGAAACCCCTAAGGTCCTACTAGATAGTTTTAGATTGTCCCTCTTACAAGGGCACCCCTAAATTCCTACTAGATAATTTGAGATAGTCCCTCTTACAAGGTAACACCTAATGTCCTACTAGATAATTTTAGATAGTCCCTCTTTCAAGGTAATCCCTAAGGTCCTACTAGATAATTGTAGATAGTCCCTCTTACAAGGTAATCCCTAATGTCCTACCAGATTATTTTAGTGGGCCCCCTTACAAGGTAATCCCTAAGGTCCTACTAGATAATTTCAGATAGTCCCTCTTACAATGTAATCCCTAAGGTCCTACTAGATAGTTTTAGATAGTCCCTCTTACAAGGAAACACCCAAGGTCCTACTAGCTAATTTTAGATAGTCCCTCTTACAAGGAAACCCCTAAGGTCCTACTAGATAATTTCTTACAAGGTAACCCCTAATGTCCTACTAGATAATTTGAGCTAGTCCCTCTTAGAAGGTAACACCTAAGGTCCTTCTAGATAATTTGAGATAGTCCCTATTACAAGGTAAGCCCTAATGTCCTACTTGATAATTTTAGATTGTCCCTCTTGCAAGGGAACCCCTAAGTTCCTACTAGATAATTAAAGATAGTCCCTCTTACAAGGTAACACCTAATGTCCTACTAGATAATTTGAGATAGTCTCTCTTACAAGGTAACCCCTAAGGGCCTACTAGATAATTTTAGATAGTCCCTCTTCCAAGGTAACACCCACGGTCCTACTAGATAATTTTAGATAGTCCCTCTTTCAAGGTAATCCCTAAGGTCCTACTAGATAATTGTAGATAGTCCCTCTTACAAGGTAACCCCCAAGGTCCTACTAGATAATTTGAGATAGTCTCTCTTACAAGGTAACCCCTAAGGGCCTACTAGATAATTAAAGATAGTCCCTCTTACAAGGTAACACCCGAGGTCCTACTAGATAATTTTAGATCGTCCCTCTTACAAGGTAACACCTAATGTCCTACTAGATAATTTTAGCTAGTCCCTCTTACAAGGTAACCCCTAATGTACTACTAGATAATTTGAGATAGTCCCTCTTACAAGGTAACACCCGAGGTCCTACTAGATAATTTTAGATAGTCCCTCTTTCAAGGTAACCCCTAAGGTCCTACTAGATAATTTCAGATAGTCCCTCTTACAATGTAATCCCTAAGGTCCTACTAGATAATTTCAGATAGTCACTCTTACAAGGTAACCCCTAAGGGCCTACTAGATAATTTTAGATAGTCCCTCTTTCAAGGTAATCCCTAAGGTCCTACTAGATAGTTTTAGATAGTCCCTCTTACAAGGGAACACCCAAGGTCCTACTAGATAATTTTAGATCGTCCCTCTTACAAGGTAACACCTAAGGTCCTACTAGATAATTTCAGATAGTCACTCTTACAAGGTAACCCCTAATGTACTACTAGATAATTTGAGATAGTCTCTCTTACAAGGAAACCCCTAAGGTCCTACTAGATAATTTCTTACAAGGTAACCCCTAATGTCCTACTAGATAATTTTAGATTGTCCCTCTTACAAGGTAACCCCTAAGGGCCTACTAGATAATTTTAGATAGTCCCTCTTCCAAGGTAACACCCACGGTCCTACTAGATAATTTTAGATAGTCCCTCTTTCAAGGTAATCCCTAAGGTCCTACTAGATAATTGTAGATAGTCCCTCTTACAAGGTAACACCTAAGGTCCTTCTAGATAATTTGAGATAGTCCCTCTTACAAGGTAACCCCTAAGGGCCTACTAGATAATTTTAGATAGTCCCTATTACAAGGTAACCCCTAAGGTCCTACTAGATAATTTCTTACAAGGTAACCCCTAATGTCCTACTAGATAATTTTAGATAGTCCCTCTTTCAAGGTAACCCCTAAGGTCCTACTAGATAGTTTTAGATTGTCCCTCTTACAAGGTAACCCCTAAGGGCCTACTAGATAATTAAAGATAGTCCCTCTTACAAGGTAACACCCGAGGTCCTACTAGATAATTTTAGATCGTCCCTCTTACAAGGTAACACCTAAGGTCCTACTAGATAATTTCAGATAGTCCCTCTTACAAGGTAACCCCCAAGTTCCTACTAGATAATTTGAGATAGTCTCTCTTACAAGGTAACCCCTAAGGGCCTACTAGATAATTTTAGATAGTCCCTCTTTCAAGGTAACCCCTAAGGTCCTACTAGATAGTTTTAGATAGTCCCTCTTACAAGGAAACCCCTAAGGTCCTACTAGATAATTTCAGATAGTCCCTCTTACAAGGTAACACCCAAGGATAATTTGAGATAGTCTCTCTTACAAGGTAACCACTAAGGTCCTACTAGATAATTTTAGATCGTCCCTCTTACAAGGTAACACCTAAGGTCCTACTAGATAATTTTAGATCGTCCCTCTTACAAGGTAACACCTAAGGTCCTACTAGATAATTTCAGATAGTCCCTCTTACAATGTAATCCCTAAGGTCCTACTAGATAGTTTTAGATAGTCCCTCTTACAAGGAAACCCCTAAGGTCCTACTAGATAGTTTTAGATTGTCCCTCTTACAAGGTAACCCCTAAGGTCCTACTAGATAATTTTAGATAGTCCCTCTTACAAGGTAACCTCTAAGGTCCTACTAGATAATTTTAGATAGTCCCGCTTACAAAGTAACCCCTAAGGCCTACCAGATAATTTTAGATAGTCCCTGTTACAAGGTAACCCCTAAGGTCCTACTAGATAATTTTAGATAGTCCCCCTTACAAGGTAACCCCTAAGGTCCTAACAGATTATTTTAGTGGTCCCTCTTACAAGGTAACCCCTAAGGTCCTACTAGATAATTAAAGATAGTCCCTCTTACAAGGTAAGCCCTAATATAAGGCCCTACCAGATTATTTTGGATAATACTTCTTACATGTAATGGTCACCCTTAAGGTCATAAGTATACCAGATATTCTGGATAGTCCCATGCTGTTACATGGTAAACCCCTAAGGTCCTATACCAATGTGGATAATCCCCCTCCTCCACCCTTATATTACATGGTAAACCCCTAAGGTCCTACCAATGTGGATAATCCCTCTCCTCCACCCTTATATTACATGGTAAATCCCCAAGGTCCTACCAATGTGGATAATCCCCCTCCTCCACCCTTATATTACATGGTAAATCCC